AACGACTGCTTACGATTTTTCGCCAGTGTATATGGACTCTACGCTACTGCACGTGACTGCACCTCGGACTGCACATAGTTTATAACGATTGCAAGTAGTGATGGCAAGGCAGAATATCACGGAGAGAAGTTTCAATAATATTACATAAATTACGGTAATACCTCACCCTTGGGGTAATATTCCCAAAACGAGAACTTTAAACCGGTAACTTACGGTAATTTTCTCAGTTTCCATGTAATCGAGCATGTAATATTCTCAGGAATATTATGCCATAATATATGCTGTGCAGAATCCAAAACGTTTATCGACTTGGAAGAAGCAGGCTGGGATGGAGGCATAGTTTGATAGATACGGTTAAGGGCTTTGTTCCAACACAGCAGGATACCCGGGACAAAACCTTACCTTACCTTATGTACAGTCACGATTCTGCGCAAAACCTAAAATTTGTGCATAAAATCCGAAATTTGTATACAGAATAATTGCCAATAGTTCATGGGACGGTTTTTGACCTGTTGGAACAGATCTATAGTGATTTTTTCAAAGCTATATGAACTTTATATGGCTGCTGTTTTGTAAAATATGATTTTTTAAACTAAATGAACAATCACTTTATATGACTGCCATTTTGTACAATTTGTCTTTTTTTTTCAAGCTATGAACAATTACTTTATATAGCTACTCTTTTGTGGGAGGCTTGCTTCCAGTTCATTCATCTTCAGATAAAGTTGCTGGTTATTGTCTGCAAGATAAATTTATTTATTTATTTATTTATTTATTGTTGTTGTAGCAGTTTACATTTCTATAGCACAAAGCGTACAGTAATATAAATATAATAATATACTACAAAATATGAAAACTTCTACTTTAGTGCACAATGGTACTTAAAGTACTGTGTGTGCACTAATTTTCTTATACAAGTAGCTATGAGGTTTTTATATTAAGCCTTATATAATAAAAAGTAACAGGATGTAAATCATCTACTTATGACTAATTTCAATACTGTAACAGTGGTAGTTAATATAAAAATAACAACAGAGATAAGTTTATGTGTAGATAGTATCTAATCTAGACTACATAATTAATTACATAATTACTTTGAAGGATCCATTGTCTTATTTCTTTTTTGCATTTGGAGTATGGCTATATACCGTTCTATAATTCTATAGGTCGGCGGATAACTGGCTGACCAATGGGATTACAGATTGCATTATTATCCGTCAGATTGCATACCTGACAGTTTATCAGAAGGTGAATGAACCGGCCCTAAGGGATATTATAGTGTCACTTCCACTTCTGCTTTGCTCTATTTTGAAAGTTACCGAAAATTACTGTAAATTACTGTAATTTACCTAATTTTCATACCAAATTATAAATTACCGGTAATTTGCCATCACTAATTGCAAACGACTGTATTAGGACTGCATGCGACTGTATTAAGACTGCATGAGTCCATGTATTCCATTGACTGCATGAGAGAGTATGGAATGTATAAGAATGTATGGACTGCATATACATGAATGTTATATTAGTACACCTACTGCATGAGTGAAACACGCCTCAAATAATCTGAATGAAAATAAGTGGGAACCTCGCTGCGAACAATAAAAAAATCTAGGTGACTGTAACTAGCATTAGAAAAGGTATTCTGATCCTATAAGTATTTCTTTCTCTTTTTATTTTATTATCTTTTCTGTACATACACTCTAAATCTTTCATTGTGTTGAGACAGATAAAGGCATTAGGTATCTTGTACAGGGTGTCCCAAATTCGAGGGTGACCATTGAGATATTGGAAACTATAGGAGATACGAGGTCGGTTAAATTATGGCAAAGTTGCGCAATTTTATGGCCAATTAAATGCCGTTTTGAAATTTGAAAAATTCTGAATACTTCCGAAGATATTCGGAGAAAACCGAAATTTTGTAAAATGGTTTTTATTTTTTCTTGACTTTATTTGAAGTGATATTTCAAAAATAATATCACTTCGTCATTGCCACTTTTTCTCCCCTACAAGATGCTACCATCAAATTTAAAATCCGACGTTTCGTCTTTGGGCCACCATCATCAACTTTATTTTTCTAAATACGGACCCCTATTTTTAATATCAGATTTCAAGAGCTTCTGATGTCCCAAAACCTATGATGCATCGGATTTATTCGAAAAATTTATACTATTGACACTTTCCATAAGAACTACTTAAATGTGTTAGAGACAGACAGAGAAGGGAATTTTGGTAAGAAATTACTAAAAAGTAAAAAAAATATGTTTTTGAATAAATGCAATACGTCATAGGTTTTGGGACATCAGAAGCTCTTAAAATCTGAAATAAAAAATCCAGGGTCGTATTTAAAAAAATTAAGTTGATGATGGCCGCCCAAAGACGAAATGTCAAATCTGAAATTTGGTAGCAACATCTTGTAAAGGGGAAAAAGTGAAAACAACAAGTAACATTTATTTTAAAATTGGTCTTCAAATAGACTCAGGAAAAAATAAAAATGATTTCACAAAATTTCGGTTTTTTCCGAATATCTTCGGAAGTATTCGGAATTTTTCAAATTTCAAAACGGCATTTAATTGGTCATAAAATTGCGCAACTTTGCCATAATTTAACCGACCTCGTATCTCTTATAGTTTCCGACTCTTCCGATATCTCAATGGTCACCCTCGAATTTGGGACACCCTGTACAATGCTCGGTACAATGGTACCTACATGTTGGTTTTTATCTAGGTTTTTATTATCTGTAGAGGTGGTGTTTGAACATTGTAATTTGTGAGTTGATATTATTGTAAATGTTCTTGTATGTATATCAGGCCCTTGGGAGTTTGATTCAGTTTCAGTGTTGGTGGATTTTTTACAGTGTTAGGTATTAGGTCTGTTTCTGTAGAAATCACGAACCAGTCAGACTGAATTTCATTGGTTGAAACTAGTTTTCTGATACATATATAAAGTTAGCAGTGCAAAGTCAGCAGTGCAAAATTTTTATGACTGGAAAAATTAGTGCTAATTGAGTGCTATTAAATGCCAAGTTCACAAATTTTGTGCTCTTGTAGTTTCCGAAATATGGCCTGCACTGCTAGCTACCCGTTAAAGATAGCAATGCAGCATCCAGGAATAATCCAGGAAAGTAGTAGGGTGATATAAATGATGAAGAAAATTAAATTGTAATTAAATGCTACCATTTCCACGAACAAAATCTCTATTTTCAGCTTTTTTTCGAATATTTTCTAAAAGCAACGCTGTGCACTGCTAGCTTTATGCAGTACACATATTGAGTTTTCATGAAAGAAGAGATTGGAAGAGTTTCCGACATAGGAATAATTTAGTGCTAATTAAGTACTAATTAAATGCCAAGTTACCAAATTTTGTGCTCTTGTAGTTTCAGAGATATGGCCTGCACTGCTATACCCGTTAAAGATAGTAGTGCACGATCCAGGAATGATCCAGGAAAGTGGTAGCGTGATATAAATTATGAAAAAAATTAAAGGATATTTAAATGCTACCATTTCCATTAACAAAATCTCTATTTTCAGCTTTTTTTCGAATATTTTCTAAAAGCAACGCTGTGCACTGCTAGCTTTATGAGTACACATATTGAGTTTCAATGAAAGAAGGGATTGGAAGAGTTTTCGACATAGGAATAATTTAGGGCTAATTAAGTGCTAATTAAATGCCAAGTTCGCAAATTTTGTGCTCTTGTAGTTTCCGAGATATCGCCTGCACTGGTAGCTACCTGTTAAAGATAGCAGTGCATCATCCAAGAATAATCCAGGAAAGTGGTAGGGTGATATCAAGGGTGATATAAATGATGAAGAAAATTGAATGCTAATTAAATGCTACCATTTCCATGAACAAAATTTCTATTTTCAGCTTTTTTTCGCATATTTTTTTAAAAACAATGTGGTGCACTGCTAGCTTTATGCAGTACACATTGAGTTTTCATGAAAGAAGGGATTGATAGAGTTTTCGACATCGGAATACTTAAGTTAGTGTTGATTAAGTGCTAATCAAATGCCAAGTTAACAAATGTTGTGCTCTTGTAGTTTCCGAGATATGGCATGCAATGCTAGCTACCTGTTAAAGATAGCAGTGCACCATCCATGAATAATCCAGGAAAGTGGTAGGGTGATATAAATTATGAAGAAAATTAAATGCTTATTGAATGATACCATTTCCATGAACAAAATTTCTATTTTCAGCTTTTTTTCGCATGTTTTTTTTAAAAATGTGGTGCACTGCAATCTCTAACAGGTAGCTAGCAGTGCATGCCATATCTCGGAAACTACAAGAGCACAAAATTTGTGAACTTGGCATTTAATTAGCACTGAATTATTCCTATGTCGAAAACTCTACCAATCCCTTCTTTCATGAAAACTCAATATGTGTACTGCATAAAGCTAGCAGTGCACAGTGTTGCTTTAAGAAAATATTCGAAAAAAATCTGAAAATAAAGATTTAGTTAATGGAAATGGTAACATTTAATTTTCTTTATCATTTATATCACCCTACCACTTTCCTGGATCATTCTTGGATGGTGCACTGCTATCTTTAACGGGTAACTAGCAGTGCAGGCCATATCTCGGAAACTACAAAAGCACAAAATTTGTGAACTTGGCATTTAATTAGCACTAATTTTTCTAGTCATAAAAATTTTGCACTGCTGACTTTGCACTGCTAACTTTATATACGTTTTTCTGACTGTTTTCAACCAATGAAATTCACTCTGACTGGTTTGCTGCAGAAACAGACCTATTATTTTGTTATTCTATTAGGTATTCAGGGCCTCACTCTCGCCTTCAACTTTTGTTCAACAGTCAGCCATGGATCTGGATTTCTGATTCCATTGTTTCCATTCCGTGAATCATAACATTCATTGTGCAGAATGTTTTAAATGCAGGAACTCACCTATGCATTTTAGAAAGCTTTTTCTTTTTCCTCCAAAACCTAGATAAGATACCTTCAAGGCTGGCACAGACAAAAAAAGTAAAAATCAAGATCCTCACCTGTTTGTGAATATCCAAACTACCATCCATAAATCCAGCCTTTTCCGTTTCAGTACAAAAGCCTTGGCAGCAAAGAATATCGGCCAAGAAAGTTTCATCTCTCTCCCTGCCTTTAAGAATACAACTATACTCTTTATTCAACAAATTCAGTGCCCAACATACAACAAAGCAGCGGTTAGATTTATGAAACACCTTCGTCGCTTCATCACACCCCATTCCGTGGACTAGTGGATAGTCGTGAGCTTTCAGGAATGTTATCAATCCAGGTAAAGAGATTGGATCTGGATCTTCCATATTCAGAATATAGTGCTAATTTATTGACACTCGTTATATCTACAAAGCAATGGCAATGGCTAGTTTGAACTATGAACTTGTGGATCTATGCTAGCTATAATAGCACAATTAATTGTTATAATAATAATCAAAAAGGCGAATTTCTAAAAAAAAAAAAACGTTATGTCTTCAAATTTTGAAACTTGTTGATTTTAAATTGACAATATGCTGACATTGCCACCCGTCATTGGAGTGTATTCGCGGGGTGGGTTCCGTTTCCAAAGCTGGTTAACCGGTCGGTACAACATCGGTGGGGTGGACTGCGGTTGAAGCCGGAGTCTCATGCATCCGTTTTCCGACGTCCGGTATCCGAAAAACCTTCTATTCTGACATAATCGTATAAAAATATGTCAGAATAGAAGGTTTTTCGGATATCGAACGTCGGACAACGGATGAATGAGACTCCGACTTTACAGTGGCTGCTGAAAATTTCGGTTTCATACAGAACGCTCTTCCAATCGCAAAGGCTCTTTTCGATTCGCTTTGGTCCGTCTTCAACGCCAACCAAAATAGAAACAAGAAACAACCGTTTTCGATTGCATACCGATTACGTTACAGGGGCCCAATTCTTGAAAAATATCGCATGCGAAATTTGGAATGATTTCGAACGCTTAATTTACATTGCTGTCAGTCCAATTCGAATCAAGTTTCGTATGCGATATTTTTCGAGAATTGGGGGCCAGAGGAATCACTTGGTCCGTCTAAATTCGAACCAGCTTTGCGAATTGGTTCGAATTTTGGTATTTATGAATTTCGGTTCGCTTTTATAAGCTTAAAACATGACGTTTTTCTTGACAGACCAAATTCGAAAGCTGTCAACCAACTTCTGTCATATCCGAACCAACCGCCGAACCTGGTGCGTACGATTTGTCTGAACCGGTTAGCGTTAGTGCAGTGCAGTTATGTTTTGGAACGCAACCATTGGAAACCACCGGGAATATGGAATGCTAAACGGTACGAATGGTGTAAAAAGTGCGACATTATAAAACGGGTCAGGGTAAAAAGTGTCAGTAGTACGGACTTTCGTACTCACTTCTGGTTGCTAATCGAAAACGGCCAGAAACGCCGCCGGTTGCGTTGGTGACTACTGGTCGGGGATTCTAAAATCACGATTCGACATACGACTCGATATCGAGACGATTTTTCCGACGATTCTAGGTTAGAAATCTCATTGGAATTATACCTTTCGACACGACAAGACCGGTATCGTTGTCGAGTCGTGTGTCGAATCGTGATTTTAGAATCTCGGCCCTGTATTACTTTTACCTGTTGAGTTACTCGGAGCTGCTCAATGTCAAAAGCTTGAACGTTCCTTTCAAAAGTACGTTTAGCACTCGAGTCGCTCATAGTGCATCCCCCTTACCCCTGATGCACCAAATTTGCGAGGGGTGCAAGAAGCCCTTTCAGGTAATGGTGATATTGAAGAATAATGATATCTCAATTGTATGTTTTGGAGTGATTCCGAGGAGCTCCAGAGCGACACGTTCGGTGTAACTCGATGTATAAAAGGAATACAGTAATTATTGACATAACCATTTTCAAGAACCTTGTTCCGTATAGACCGGTTTTTCAGGCACCAGGCATTACGGTACGTGTAACCGTAACAAAGGTTGGAAACGGAATTGGTTGTGTCCCCGTCCACCGTGGCGAGGCAGCCGGCACTCAAGGAGAATACACACTCTAAGGAATGCTTATCGGCCTCATTTTTGGTAATCGCCGCCATATTGGTGTGATACCATTTCCGACGTCATAACCAAGTCGTCAGCTGTTCAAATAGCCTACGTCAAGGCGAGAAATAGCATGCTGCTACGTCAGAACTGGTATTTTGGCTAAGTGGTGTAAGGAGGGAGGATTTGTTACACACAGGCCTTATGAGAATAGGGCGGATAGGCCATCCTGGAGTAGTAGTGTGTATCATCCTTGACCGGCAATCGCATCGGTTTTTTCGTAACTGACATACTGCATGTCAGAAAAGAGGAAAACCCTTTGAATATAAAACTACAGGAAGGAGCATAACTTCGAATCTGCGCGACCAAAATATGTGGAGGTTGCATATGGCCGACTAGTATTTCCGGTTTGGCAGTAGCGTATATTTATTTAAATATGATTGTCAATATTATGACTCACTCTTTTCTCACTAATTCCAGTACTTATCATCACTTAAAACCGCTAAAATCCATTAAACATCCACTTAAATGAGGACACAGGGAACCACCAAAACAAATGATGAGTCCAAACTTGGAGGCTCAAAATGGCGGCTTCCGTCGCTTTTTTGTTTGCAGTGACAGATAGACAACGCTCCTTCCTGGATTGTTTATCATTTCACCCGTTAGTAAACAAAACTTGTGACATCGACATGATTGAAGAGAAAAAAAACCAGTGTCGGAGGTGCATGTAGGCCACAAAAATACAATATGGTATTATACATATTTTAATTTTGTATTTCTATTAAACATTATTTTTTAGTATTCTGGATAATTTATGATGTGAAAAAAACATGGTTAGGCGCATTAAATTATCTAAAATCTAGCTCAGTAAGCATATGGACGTATGTTTGTGCAGACTATTTTAGCAGTGGAGGATACAGATTTTCAAAAACTGGTGCTAAAATTTTGAAAGCCTCTGCTGTTCCTGTTTTTGCAAGCACCAGCGCTTCTCGAGTACTGTCTAGATTAAGGGGTACTTGTCGAGGTACTCATTCATGGGTTTATGTGAAAAATCATTAATTTTGATTTTTGAAGAATCTATATTCGTGATTTGTTTGGACCCCTCAATTAGGAATTAAACGTACTGGAGTTATCTTCATTAATTGTGTTATGTCCACCATTCAATTGAATAAAACGAAAAGTTTGCCAACTTTCAAATAGAGGGATGAAGTTCGGCTCAATTTGGAACTTGTCGGGAGCAAGAAATTAATTTTCATTTGGATTAATTTATCAACAAATTTAAAAAATGTCAACAATTAAACTAAATTATTGGTTGGCCAAGTAGTGATTTGGTCTGCCTCTACTTCGACTACTAAACAGCTTAGTGGTTAGTACTAAGTTTGAATCATACATGGCGCCCTTAGTGGTGAAAATATCATTCTGATGCTATCGTCAACTTTAAAAATATAGGTACTCATACTCAGTACTTTTCGTAAGTACTTAATATTCACTTGAAAGTTCAGTGCATTATATTTTCAGTATTTGCAGTATTGATCAAATTGCTTTATTTGCAAATATTTTTGTTATCAGTAGGTACCTCAACTCTTGTAATATTATTATTAAAATTCTGAATAAACATTGTTTTTTTTTGCATTGTTGTTAAATTATTACAAAGCTACTCTTTTCTGATACAAATCCCCAAAAAAAATTAAGAAAAAAAATCTAGCGAAATATAGGTCTGTTTCTGCAGAAATCACAAACCAGAGTGAATTTGATTAGTTGGCACTAGTTTTCTGACTGCTTTCAACCAATGAAAGTCGCTCTGACAGGTTTGTGATTTTTGCAGAAACAGACTTATTGTTTTGGTCTCATCTCATGTATTTTTGTTTTTTCGGAAACAGTCCAATTTGCTTTCGGTTTTAGTGCTCAAATTTATCATTTTTAAAACTACCTTTCTGGAATTAAATATATATTTCAAAAAATGACTTTTTATGGGTACGCCTATGGTAACCTTTGCTTCTAATAAAATACGTCTACGTATTACTTGGGAATACGTAGAGATTCTTAACATATGTTTGTGCCACCTTGCTCCAATGCTTTTAGTTAGGCCGTTACCTATCTTGTCACATTAGTAGATAATTAATAAATCCATGGGTTAACCAGTTTGGAATTAACGGAATACACACTTTTCATGCATCCGTTTTTCCGTCAATCCGATGATCCGGAAGTATTCTTATTGGTCCAACCCAATGAACTATAACCAAAAACTGGAATGCTAACACATAAGGACGAACGTGAAGCCTAGTGCAGCTGTTGCGGAGGGGATACCTGTTTTTGTCGCACTCATTATGTTAAATGGCGAAAATTGCTTCCCACACGTATTCCAATCGATGAAACCTGTGAAGGGAAATATGACAAAACTTTCGAAAACGTCATATGACAGCGAGCAACAGAAAAAAACAACATTCCCCCTTGTGGCATCTGTCTTTCATGGCTTCATTTTTTTGGCAGATATGGCACTGTGTGCGCATTCCAGTTTTTAGCTATAATTCATTGGTCCAACCACATTCGTAACCCAAACTAACCTAACCCAAAATATTGGACCATAAAAAGAATAAGGCCGGATTTTCATGCATCCGTTTTCCGACGAAATATGTCCGAAAAATCTTCTATTTTGACATATTTTAACTGGCGGCTAAACATAGGACTGCGATCCAACGTTGCCAAATTGATTTCGATGCTAGGCGCGTGCCCGCCCACCCCATTGAGCCAAGTTTGGCTGTCTCTGTCAGTCTGTCTTTTTCATTGATCTCTTTGGAGTTTGGTGCAAATAAACAAACAAAGCTAGTAGTATTGTATATTGTATTCAGTAGCTCGCTTATTGCTTGTATTTTTGATTTGTGTACGATTTGTTTCTAATTTTTTTTGAGAGCACGAATACGAATGGTGTGTTTTGCTTCGAATGCGATAAAGTATTCTCGACTCAAAGTAATTATAATCGACATCGACGTGAAATTCATGGACTTAATGATAAAGTGATCATTGAATATGCGTGTGAAGTAACAACAATGTTCAAATGCGAAGAGTGTGGAATATCTTTTAAGAAAAATGAATATTTACGACATCACTTAGTACAAAAACATAATATACTTTTTTAGAGAACTTTGACCTTTTATTTTTAGTTTTAAATACTTTCGCTTCTTTCTTTAGAATAACTACTATAAGTAGGAACCTAAATATAAATTCACAATGAAAAAATATACCATATATTATTATTTTTATCGTATTATTACCATTACTTATTTTCTATTTTTATATTCCGGCCTGTCAAAATGACATTATTATGGATCTCATTTGTAGTGTCAAAATGACATAATTTATTGGATTGAGTACTTTAATGCGATTTCATTAGAGAGTAGTATAATGAGATCTCATTATAAGTACCATAATGAGAAAAAAA